ATAACGAGTTTATTCTCAACATTATTTGAGGGAAAGTCTAAAAAAAAATTGAGAATAAATATAGACTTTTCCTTAAAAAAAAAAAAAATCTCTTTATTATGATTTTAATCAAGATGCTTTTACTTCAATTTTTAATATTCTTGACCCCAATCTTGAAATGGCTTTTATTTGTTGTATTATTATTGCTCGGCCCTAACTGATTATTGTTGATTATTGCTTAACAAAATGTGACCACAAAATTACAAGTTATTATAAAAAAAGTTAAATATGTATTTAAAAAGCTCTAGTTAAATAATTAAAATAATTTAACAATACTGCTAATGTTTACTGACAGTGCAACATATCGAAAATAATGCCTAACAAATATATTGAAAAATTACAGTAAAATGCTTCAGCTAGAGCAGCACAACTGCAAAATTAGTAATAAAAAAAACAAATGATAAAACAAACGATACACTCGTTCAGTAAAAATAATTAGACAAAATGTGCAGCAAATCACAAACTCAGTAATAAAAAAGTATTGATGAAATAAATGATTAATTCGTTTGTTAAAATGATTAAATAATTTAAAAACTAAAGTGAATTGACCCACTGTAAAACCCGACAGTCAACTTTATCAAATGAGAGGAGTGTAGTTTACTCAATTGCCTGAAAGTTAATTCTACTCATCTGAAAAGAGTTTTGAACTCGGTGTTGAAGGTAACGAGTTCATTAAATACCACATTACCTCAGCCTAAATGCAGTAAGCTCACAGTACTCATATGGAGTTGCCTTAACATTTTGGGTTTTACAGTGTAGTGCTCAAACAAACCCTTAATTCATTAATTAAAAATGAAATAAAAAAAAATAATTGTAAAAATAAATAGTGCAGCACATTTAGCAACAATAAAAAGCTAAAGATAAAGAAATGATTACATTTAAAGGGCACCATAAGTGTTTTGCGTCTCCAGAATGTGTCTGTAAAGTTTCAGCTCAAAACACCCGTCAGATTTCTCATTACACCTTGTACATGTGTTGTATACACATTTCCAGCAGGGGGCCGTTTAGTCGTACTGCGCCTTTAAGGCGAGTCCTCCCCGCCGACTGTTTCTACGTGTCTTTCTGCATGCCTAATCTCCTCCCTCGGCTGCGTCAGACACCAGACAGACTTAAAGGAAGCAGATCTCACGCAGCGTTTGTGACAAATACTACAGTTATAACTTTGCCAATGAGTTTTTGAAGTGGAGATGCATCGACACACAATGTCAATGTGCAAAGTTCACGCGCACACACACTTGCTTCCATCTAGAAAACGTTTCCGTAGCTTGATGGCAAAAACAGAGAGACTTAGGAGGAGCTTCTTTCCCCAGGCCATCAGGCTGCTAAATTCTAACCCGGTGTTAGACATTACGTGATTTCTTTGTATTTATCATTGTAGTAGTCATATTCATAAGTACATCATATTGCTGCTATTCTTATTACCTTGTATAATTTTTTGCACATTTTTTTTTCTTCTTTTTCCTTAATATGTAATTTTTTGTTTATCTATACTTTGTTTATCTCTGGAGCGGACCTGACCTACATTTCACTGCTGGTCATACTTTGTATAACTATGTAAGTGACAAATAAAACTTGACTTGACTTGACTTGACACACACACACAGAGATACAGACAGACACACACACACACAGGCAGACAGCGCGCGTTTAGCTTTGCACTCTTTTTGCACGCATGTATGTGAGGATACAGGCTAATCTCCACTGCTGTGTGGATATCTGTTATGTTAAAGTACAAAATAAACCTGATTTAACGTCCACAAAGCGGGATTGAAGCATCTTCTTTTATAATTGTTCTGACATGCGGCTGTGCTGATGAAGTAAAGCTGAAGTAAATCGCTGTACTTCATTACACACGTGCTCTGTTTTAAAACATTTTAAACTTGTAAAACTCACTCTTGATCACATTTGATGATGATTGCTGATCCGAGCGAACTGAACAGACCTTTAATTCCTGGTTGCTTTGCGCACATCTGGTCTTGTTGGTATGATTATACACGTGACCACCGGGACATGTTAATGTGCACAGCTGTCAATCAATTTAGTGGGCGGGGGGACCGCACTCCTACGTCAAGATGTGGTCGGTCTGAAAACCGCTCTAATTGCTCCACTGTCTATATGTTGTTAAACTAAAAAAAAGGACTGTTTGTGTTTATATCAGCCTAATATTACGGTCTATACACTATACCTACACATATGTCTGTCCAAACTGTTTGAAAAGTAGATTTTTCACCATACGGTGCCCTTTAATATTTAATAAATATAATTAATAATTAAAAAAAATTTAAAAAGCCACTAATATTGCATTATTAGCAATAACAAAAAATTTGGATGAATCATTCGTAATGAAACCTGAATCATAAATAAGCAAACAGCAGATAAACGCTCACCGCCGACTGATGCTCCTGCAACGGACAGCATAAACCCAACTGAACTCTACTGTAAACATGTTTCAATTAAAGCAGTAAATGTGCAAAAACACTGTAGTTCACATCTGCACCGCTCCACGTCTGCTGATCTGACGCTGTCTTCAGCACATTCAGCCAAAGAAAGAAACAGCTCAGCTGAAAATCACATCCATCCCTCAATGCCCGCTAAAATATGCAGATTCATAAACGGACATGATCAGCACTGTGGCCTCACAGCAAGAAGGTCGCTGGTTCGAGTCCCTAGGTCAGTTGGCATTTCTATGTGGAGTTTGCATGTTCTCCCCGTGTTGGCGTGGGTTTCCTCCGTGTGCTCCGGTTTCCCCCACAGTCCAAACACATGCGCTATAGGGGAATTGATGAACTAAACTGGCCGTAGTGTATGAGTGTGTGTGTCAATGATTGTGTATAGGTGTTTCCCAGTAATGGGCTGCAGCTGGAAGGGCATCCGCTGCCTATAACATATGCTGGAATAGCGGTTCATTCCACTGTGGCGACCTCTGAAATAGAGACTAAGCAAAATGAATGAATGAAATGAATGAACATGAGCGTGACGGACAGCACAGACCTGCATCGTACTGAAACACTCCTCAATTATATTGTGCAGCTGCTTGTAAAAATAAAAAAGAAAGTAGAGCCAATAGGCCAAAAACGGTCCATTGTAACCTTTGATTTGACCACCATCCCATCTGAGCGGAGAGTGAGTACGATGGAGAGGGTTGGGGTGAATGCCCTTAATACAGAGAGGCTGCGTCTGAAACCGCATACTTCCATACTAAACAGTACACAAAAATTAGTATGCGAGCCGAGTTGTGTGTCCGAATTCATAAGCTGCGTCCCAAATCGCATACTTATGCACTATTCTACGCCATTTTGTAGTATAAATAGTGTGAGTAGTGTGTTCACACTGAAAACTCTTAACAATTATAAGTGCACTTGAATTACCCGGATGATGCACTCATTCAGCCAGTATAATGAAGTGTGTAATGATGGACACTTCACACACTCAACGACCGCAGGTTTGCTTACGTAGCGGAAGGGGCGGAGCTATCGGGCGCACATGTTGAATAACTTTATTTATTTTGGTTTGTGAAAGCAAAATTCTCCTACTAGAGTGATTATAGCGCCTCCCGATGGTGAATGCGGTTAAACTCACGGCAGGTATTATTTGATAATTCTGTCGTTTATTTCACTGATTTGGCAACCGTCAAACGTCATCAGGGAAACGGTTTCAATATCCGCTTAGTAAAAAAACATTAGTGTGCCATTTGGGACGCCACTACATACATATACTATCCTGTGTAGTGTGTAAGTGCATAAGTACATAGTGCATGAGTGCATAGTGTGCCATTTGGAACGCAGCTTGATTTACATTCATACTTTTCGCATTCATACATGTATTGAACAATGGCTGAGTAGTACGTTTAAATGGAAATGCAGTACCTACTGAGTAGCAGGTGGTTTCAGACGCAGCCAGACGTTTTTAGTTTGATGTAACCTTTTTTGTTTATTTTATTGTTGAGCTATAAAAAAGCAACCTGAAATTAAATGTTATAAATGAATCCGATTTTCTTTTAGGGTTTTTACCTTTATTTGGAAAGGAAAGTAGAGAAAGGTAGAGCAGAGAGAGGGGAAGGATTGGCATAGGACCACGAGGCGGAATTGAACTCGGATCTCCGTGATCACCTGAGTGCATGTGTCGACGCACAAACCACTACACCACTAGCGCCTACATGCATCATGTTTTTTAAAATGTAAAAATGGTCACTTGATGAATGAAGGATTACTAAATTAGATTTTGTTTTTAATGTCAAAGGTTCATTATATAACATAAAAATGATTGTATTAGTGATGTAAAGCAATGTTTTCTAGTCATGTTTAAATTTTATTAAATAAAATAGGAAATTACCCATGTTAAATTACCCCACCTACAATTGTCTTCGGGCCACTTGTCCGTTTGGTTTTTGGTCCTTCATAATAAAAAGTTTGGGCACCCCTGCTGTAGACAATCCAAAACTAATATTGCTTAAGGGGGCTAATAATATTCACCTTAAAATGGGTTTAAAACAATTAAAAACTGCTTTCATTCTAGCTGAAATAAAACAAGTAAAATTTACTCCAGAATAAAAAATTATTAGAGGAAATACTGTGAACAATTCCTGGATCTGTTCAACATCATTTGAGAAATATTTGACGAAGAAATTTACAGAAGGGGGAATAATTTAGACTTCAACTGTATGTATATTTATTCATTATCCTTCAGCTTAGTCGCTTATTTATCAGGGGTCGCCACAGAGGAATGAACCGCCAACTATTCCAGCATATATTTTAAACAGCGGATGCCCTTCCAGCTGCAACCCAGTACTGGGAAACACACACACACACACACATATACACTACAGTCAATTTAGTTCATCAATTCCCCTGTAGAGCATGTGTTTGGACTGTGGGGGAAACCGGAGCATCCGGAGGAAACCCACGCCAACACGAGAAGAACATGCAAACTCCACACAGAAATGCCAACTGACCCAGCCGGGACTCGAACCAGTGACCTTCATGCTGTGACGCCACAATGCTAACCTATGAGCCACCGTGCCACCCATAAGCCATATTTTCTGTGTAGATGCATGTGTGTGATGTCCAGCTGAACTGTGTCTTGAACTCCAGTGTGTGTGTGTGTGTGTGTGTGTGTGTGTGCTGCAGTTTCAGTCAGTGTGTATTGCTCTAGAATTCTGCATTATTGAAGTAGACGCCGCACTACAGATATGACACAGCCTGTGGAGAACACAAACACAGATAACACACGTACAGTACTGCCAGCCTCAACGCCAAAGGGCTCGTTTACAGTCACTCATCATCTGGAAGCATTAAAACCCAAACCCAAACCGACCAGTGTGTGTGTTTGATGAGAAATCCTGAAGAAGCAGAAAACACTGGCCTTGTGGAGACGCAGACAGCAGTGTGTGTGTGTGTGTGTGTGTGTGTGTGTGATCACAGTGTTCTTCATCATGCTGAAGTGTGGAGGAGACGACACCAGACTCACATGCAGAAAGTGCAAAATATTCCAGCCCAGACTGCAGAGCACAGGTGTGTGTGTGTGTATGTGTGTGTGTGTGTGTGTGTTTCCTCCAGTCAGTGTGCATGTGTGTGTGTGTGTGTGCTCATGCTCTTCCCTCCTCCGCCGAGCGCTGTTCAGACTTGAGTTTGACGAACTCTTTGGCGACCTCATCGTTGTTTCTCTGTGAGAGGATGCGCAGGACGGTGAGCCCCGTCTCGTCCATGTGCACGCGCTTTCCCAGCGGCAGCCAGCAGGCGGCGCTGCTCCGGGATGCCAGATCCTTCAGCTGCAGCACCGCCGTGCCCACGGTGCGATCCTCCCGCGCAAAACAGTAGTCCTTCACACACACCTGCAGCTCATAGCCCTCGGGGCCCAGCTCACTACCTAGAACACTAGATAGGGAGACAGAGAGAAACAGCTACTGAGGAATACAGCAGAATTTAAAAGTCCACATGAATCAGAAGCTGCGACTGTTTTTTCGTCCATATTGTCATGCAGTTCAGAGAGAAACAGTGGGCGTGGCTTGTTTTCTACTGCGTGCTGATTGGTTGGAGTAAAGTAGATTTCATTCAGAAAGATGGGGGCTGTTCCTAATATCAAGTACACAAAGTTCGGACTTGAGTCCTTAAAGGTTCAGACTAGGAAGAACAAACTACCGAGGACGCAAAGACACAAGTCAGGTATTTCTTCAAATGGAACTGCAGTGTACTTTATAACGTCACTTACCTCACCATGCACATTAACAATTAAATGATTTAATTTTATAATGCACGACCCTGTAATTAAGATTATATTAATATTATAAATCTACATTTTTGATTTAAGAAAATGTACACATAAAGTTGCAATATATATATATATTATGGGCCGAACCCAAATACGGTATTCGGATAAGCACGAATAGCGTGTTTTTACTTGAAAAATTATTTGTATTCGGGAACAAGAAAACCATTATATCCAAAAGCTGCGTTTCCTCATAAGACCGCAGTGCATGCCCACGTGAGTGAATGAGTGAGTCAGTGAGACAGACGTTCAGGAGTCGGGGGGCGGGGTGGGGCCCTGACTGACGCAGGTGACTGACGCAGGCTGCTGCTCCACACAGCAACAGAGAAGGCTTGGCAGAGCGAAAAATACTTTACTGCATTACTATTTTTGTTAAATAAATTTTTGTATCTGAACTGGGTTCCAGAGGCAGTTTATAAACTTGTAGCGTATTTAAAGCGGAGTTTGATCGGTATATTATTCCATTACGCTGCATTATTGACGTCTGCAACCTGTTGCTCTCTGTTTACGTAAGTTAGCTCTGTTAGCGCGGTAATTAAGACAATAGACTGTTGACAGAGTAACGGTAATGTTCGGTTATAAAGGTTAAAACGATGCATGTGTAGTTGTGTCGAACTGTATGCACTCATAGGAGTTTTATGGTACGTTTAAATTACTGTCATTTGCAGACAGCAAGATATATGCTAAGCTAGTTAACCTTAGCATAGCTTCCGTCACTCATACATCTATGCCCGTCACTTATTAACTTTTAGGCACCGAAATAGGTAAGAGTGAGGCTGCTGCGGAGTCATTCATGGTCCTCCACCAGCCAAAAAAAAAAACTTGCTCTAATTCTTTGTGGAAGAGTTGTACAGTCAGTGGTGCAGCAGATAAAACAGTGATGCTGTATGTAACATGTGCAAAAGTATATCTTAAGTATTTATATATATATAAATATTTTGCAATATATATCGCAGGGAAACAAAATATCGCAATGTCAATTTTTTCCAATATCGTGCAGCCCTAATTGGAACAGTACTTCGGCGATGGTTGATGACGTTTCACGAGGACACAAGAAAACAAGTATAGACAAGAACGCATATTGAGCGACAGCCAAGGAAAAAGGATTTGGGTAGAGTTATTACAACCTAACAGACTCCTAACCCATCCTCACCATTTCTGTTTGTTGTCAAAACTGACAGCTGGAGGGGTGTGGTTAAGTATGGTAGCCACGCCCAATACCTCAGACAGAACTAGTCTGGGGCCCCGTTTACACTAGTACGTTTTAGCTTTAAAACAGCGTTTTAGAATAAAAACGGTCAGCATCCACACTGACGTTTACCTAGCGCTTCTGAACAAATCTCCATCCACACTACACCACTGAAAACGCACATCACATGACCACACACACTCTGTCATGCGCTGCAGCGTATGCACACATCTGAGCTCCAGGCAGTCAGCGGGTGCTTTGAGCACATCTACCCAGATGAGAGCAGCGCACACCTGACAGTTCATCAAGGATCTACTGCTGGATTTCATCTTACTGTATTTGTTAAACGTGATATTTAATGCATCTTGTCTCTATATAGCGGTGTTTTAAATCTATTACTTGTTCTCAGGTAACGTGTTTTGGCTGAGCGCATAGATAAGCTAATATATGAATTTAAGCAAAGGCATACACTGATTCTTAAGACAATAATCAATGGAGGATACATCACAACAATGAGCTTGCAGCCTTGTATAAGGAAATTGATATAGTTAAATATATCGGACTTGCGAGGCTAAAGTGGGCAGGACACGTCATACGTATGGATGAAAATGCCATTGCAAAAAAAATCTTCAGCACTGACCCGGTAGGCAAAAGAAAAGTAGGAAGGCCTAAACAAGATGGCGAGACTGCATTAGCAGTGATGTTTTAGGAATAAGGAATTGGTGGGCAGTTGCCCGGGACAGACAACATTGGCGGAAATTACTTGAGGCAGCCAGGATCCAGTAATGGATTTTCAGGCTAAGGATGATGATGATGGTACACTGATTCTGCACACTGACTGATCGCTTGCCTTTATTTTCATTCATTCATTCATTTTCTTGTCGGCTTAGTCCCTTTATTAATCCGGGGGTCGCCACAGCGGAATGAACCGCCAACTTATTGAGCACGTTTTTACACAGCAGATGCCCTTATAGTGGCAACCCATCCCTGGGAAAGCCTTTATTTTCTTTATTGTATAAACCTATTGTACGTTATACTTTCATAATGGCCATGATTATTAAAAGTGATATTCAGCAAAAGAGAGGCTATGTTTCATATTTTTTATGAAAATGAAAGGAGGCAGTGATGTTATGGACCCCGTTTTGTCATAAATATGTATACAGTGACAATGACACTCATATAAATATGCAGTGTAAGAATTGAAATATTACAAATATTTTTCAAAATAATTCAATAATTCAATTCAAAACATGAGCTGAAAACAGGGCCAATTGACTCCACAACCCAGCAGGTGGGAATGCGGGAAAAACCAGCTCCTGCTGCATTTCCATCTAAGTATGCTGAAACTCAGCTTCATCCCCCCATCTCACACATATGGTCATTTCAATGTTTGAATGTTCTAAATTAACCAAAGTGACTTTACCTATCATGTTTGATATCATTTGAAATGTCTCAGTGCGACTGGTACAATGGTCTCATTCCCTCAGAAACAGACATAATCAAAACAATAAATATATAACTTCAGGCATCTTTTGAACCACTGTGAAGGGTGTGACTTTTCCACTAAGTGTGAATGCCTTTTGTTATACACACACTCCCTTTCTTGAGGGAATTCTTGGATTATTTAAGGTAAGGTTTGAGACAGGCTCAGGGCGATTCTGCCTAACCAGATCAGCCCATAACATGGAGCCTGCTCCATGTTATGTATATTTTTGAAGTCAGGTATGCATCTTTCATCTTGGATTTATCTTTGATAATTTGATGTTTTGTATTGATCAGTTATGAATTGACTGATTGAATTGGCATAATACATTTACCTGACTAATAAATTGTAATGTTTGACCATATTTTGCTCACTCTGTAATTATTAATTCAGGTAGATTACGCTGTATCCTTGTTTCCGCACGTCTTGCGTCAGGTCAGTAGACGGACTAAAATCCAATTGAGATGGAGCATTGGGCACACTAATTGTGTTTTAGGGATCCGGCTGACTCTTGATATTGATTCATGTGTACTTAGGTGGAAAGGGCGATAACTTTCGTCTAGGTCAACAAGGTGTTGCACGACTAACCTAGATTGGGTACCCAACCTTTGTTTGAAGGTAATATTATTCTAAATTAAGTTCATATGGGAACCCATGGGCTTGGTGAAAACCAAAGTTACTATAGAGTCCAGTAGTCGGGTACATTTATATTAATGCCCTAACCTCTAATTAGAAATGATGATTGTCTTAACTCAAAGGTGTACACCTAAGCGGGACTAACTAAAGTATTTTAGAACGAGCGTGCTGGTAGCGGCCATCTAAAGTATTAGTCAATTACCTCTGTTTAATATTCAAGACTGAACGGAGTGTGACCGTGAGGGACGCCTTCGGCCGAGGCGATTTCTCTGAGCGACATGAGCACCCGAATGAACGGATGTAATAGTTACTAGTGAAGACAAAAGGTTCAAACATTTATCTAAATTACATATTGATATAATCTTCTCAAAGTTTTATAATTGGAGTCAGATAAAACGAGGATAAATATATTAATATTCTAAACCACCTCATACTAAAATTGGAGTCAGATATGAGTTAAGTTTAATATAGATCAACATTGTGCACTGGAAAGACCGAACATGCAGTGAACCTTCATCCACCAGTGGACACCGGCATTGGACCAACTGGCTGGACCCTACAAAAGCTACACAACGTAACATGCAAACTCAACACAGAAATGCTAGCTGAGCCAGCCAGGACTTGAACTAGCAACCTTCTTACTGTGAGGCCACAGTGCTAACCACTGAGCCACCGTGCCACCCCAATACTAATATTTGAACATTTAAATACCATATCAATATTTATTAATACATATATTCATTTTCTTGTCGGCTTACTCCCTTTATTAATATGGGGTCGCCACAGCGCAATGAACCGCCAACTTATCCAGCACATGTTTTTACGCAGCGGATGACCTTCCAGCCGCAACCCATCTCTGGAAAACATCCATACACTCTCATTTACACTCATACACTACGGAAAATTTAGCCTACCCAATTCACCTGTACCGCATGTCTTTGGACTTGTGGGGGAAACCGGACCACCCGGAGGAAACCCACACGAAGGCAGGGAGAACATGCAAACTCCACACAGAAACCCCAACTGACACAGCTGAGGCTCGAACCAGCGACCTTCTTGCTGTGAGGCGACAGTATTACCTACTGCGCCAATGCGTCACATTTATTAATACATATTTAATTTATTAATAACACAATATTTTGATCCACTCTAAATAATGACTGCTGTACTATCATGATTGTGTGTGTGTGTTAAATATATTATATATGAAGAGTTTATTTACAAATACTGATAAGCAATCCTTCACTCTCTCTCTATTTAGATATTTTTCAGAGATTTTTTCAGTTGTACTCTTCAATGCACAGCTTAAAAACAGAACATCTGAAAATGATCACATAAATGCTTCACATGTAAACAGGAATGTAGCTCTCATAAACATATGGTATCATACAAATCTGTAAAAAGCGAAGGAGAACGTACTACTGGAAGGATTCGGCGAACTTCGGAGACCAGCTGTTGTTCTTGGATTTGGTGGCGAATTTCCTCTTCTTGTCGCTGAGATATGGCCCGATGATGAACACCTCCACGAAGGGCCGGAAGATCCCCTGTGTCTGCCAGCGCAGGTCATTGGCTGAGACCACTGATAAACACACAGAGAAGATACGATTAGCCTGATGATGCTAATAAAATGTTTCCATCACTTCGATAATTTGTCACCAAATTCAAAGCTGCATGTTTGAAATTTGAACAAATATGATTATTTATACATCAAAATAATAATAATAATACCATTAATAATAGTTGCTTTTT